GAATACGAATAGTGGTTACGTTACGCCTGCTACCGCATACACGGATGCTGCTGTAGCAGCTGTGAATTACAAGTTATAATACTTATAATACTTTCATTCCTAGTTTTTAGTTACCCCAGACTGACTAAAGGATGCAGAACATAAAATGTTTTAAATTATTTACTATTCTGTACTACATTTTGTGAAGTAAAAGTTCAGCGAACATTTGACATGACATTTGTTTGAGTTTTTTTTTTTTTTTTTTAACACACTATGTATTTGTATTCGTTTTCTGCCGAATAGTTGGTCCAATTATCTGTATTCAGCTGAATAGTGATAATAATCTATTGGGTACAGCTTTAGTATTAACCGTCATGACGGGAGGACTGACGTGTTTAAAGTCGAGCTCAACAAGAGGAAATGGAGATGGCAGAAAATGTGAAAAAAGATAAGGTGGAGGTTTTCAAGCGCTGTGCTGCAGAGGTCAAAAGAGCAAAGTGGGAAACTTTTGTGAATGATATGGGGGGCGATAAAACATTAGGGAAATTCTGGAAACTGCAAAGACAGATGCAAAGAAAAGATCGGCCTATGACAGTCGGAACAATTTGTAGAGACGATGGTGTGCGTGTGACAACAGACAAGGAGAAAGGGGAGGCTTTTCTCCATAGGTTTATAGCTCAGACAGATCATAATGATGTAGACATCAGGGATGCAGTTAGAAAGGAATTAGCTGGCACCTTGAAGAATATGCATTATGAAGACATGATACAAGTGGAAGATATCAAACAAATTTTGAAAAAAGCAAAAGACACTGCACCAGGGCCTGATGGTGTCAGGTATGGTCACATGAAGGCTTTGAGCGATGTAGACCTGGCAGAGATGGCCGACTGTTTTAACCAGAGTATTAAGACAGCATCAGTACCGCAAGACTGGGTGCACAGCTATCTAATCCCACTACCAAAACCTTTTAAAGATCATTCAAAGCTTAGTGGCTTTAGAATCATCACCTTACAAAACACATTTGGGAAGGTCTTGGAGAAGATAGCTGCTGTAAAGTTACAAGAATTTTTAGAAAGGGGGAAGCTTCTCCCAAGAGTTCTGGGAAGCTACAGGCCAGGAAAGGACACTTGGGCAAATGCGGCCACTTTTGCTTTTGACGTCTATGAATGGTTCCAGAACATACAGGAAACTATGGCGGTAGGACAGGATCTCGAGGATGCTTATAACAGAGTGAGATACAACATCTTAAGGACTGCACTGAGGGAGAAGGAGGTCAATCCATGGCTAATGAATTGGGTTGCAGCTGTCCTGTATTCTCGTCGGGTTGCTCTCCGACTGGGCTCATGGACCTCTGAACCATGCACTTTAGCCCCAGGACTGCCACAGAGATCCGCCATCTCGCCTGTGCTCTTTAACGTGTATACGAGCAAGATTGCAAGCCTAGAAGCACCAGGAGTTGGAAGAATACCGGCTTTTGCGGATGATATACTTGCATATAGGCAGGGGGAAGAGAGGGAACAAACAGCTCGGGAGCTGCACGCGACAGTAGACAAAGTGACTGAGTGGTGTACAGAAATGAGGACTGTCGTTCACCCGGAAAAGGCGTCTGTTTTGTGGTGTTCTCTGAACAACAGAATCGTTAAAACTAATGTCACAAGTCTCACGATAGATGGTAGAGACGTCAACAGAGAGAGCAAACTGAAGTATCTAGGAATTACATTTGACAGGAGCCTATCATTTAAGGACCATGTGGAGAGTGTTGTGACGAGATGCCAAAAAGGACTTAGTGCACTTAAGACTATGGCTGCAATTGACATAGAGCAGAGAATGCTTTTCACACTATATCAGCACCTGATCCTGTCAGTGGTGGATTATGGCCTGGGACTGCTTACTGTCTCAAAGAGTCAGATGGACAAACTAGAGCGCATACAGAACGCGGCTATGCGGGTCATTCTGGGTTGCACCAGAGACACCCCAGTGGTGTGTATGCGAAACATCCTTGGTTTGCCGACGGTTGCAGATAGGCACAAGGTGCTGCAGGCGAAGTCATATCTCAGGGTAGCTGCAGACACAGACCACCCTCTGCATGAAGCTCTGGGTGCAGTTAAGGGTCAGCGGCTGATAAGAGGGAGGTCATGGATGGCTCAGGCAAAAGATACAATCAGACAGTTTTGCATCCTTGAGAACATTAGGCGAAGAGAGGAGTAGATCAAAGTGCCATCTGAGCAGTCAGACTTGTGTAGAGTTATAATAACGCTGAGCCGGGAATGCAGAGACTGGTCAGCAGGTGCCACTAAGGTGGAAATTCAGCAATTAATTCTAGATAATGCTGGCTCAAAATATTTGATCTTTTACACATACGGTTCAGTGTCAAGAGGCAAAAGAAGTGCTTGGGGCTTCTTAGCAAAAGTTAATGGTCGACGTTTTGGTGCAGGAGAGTCTAGCATATGATACCACAACATCCAGCTTAAGAATGGGGGTTGAGGCGGTCACTGCAGCTTTCCGCTGGCTAGAGAACACGACACACACATCGTGATTGTAACTGATTCAGAAAGCATGCTGAGGAAGATCAGAACAGGTATGCTGCATGCAGAGTGGCATGCTTCGATGCGGAGGACACGAGTAAGGAGTATTGTCTAGATTTTCCACTAGGTCACGCCGATGTGTTGGGAAATGAACAGGCGGACAGACTGGCTGGCTCTGCACAACTTGGTGGAATACTGATACATGATAGGGCGGACGTGGTTAGTGCCATGTGGGAGAGCGTGTACAATTCGGGTCACCAGATGGATCACCACAGTCTGGTGAGATTGATGCAGTTGGGGTGACGAGAGGTTCTGGAAGAAGCTCGAGGCTCAGAGGAAAGGCAGAACGGACGTTTAATCAGAAAGCTACTGGCACCATTAGTATCGGAACTCTTCGCTGGCTGCTGAAGATGGGGACGGAGCGCTTATGGGAATGCCCCGAGTGCTGTGATGTCGGTTCTTGAACCAAATCAAATCAAATCAAATCAAGTCGAGCTCAAGTACGCGATAATAATATATTAAATAAAAGGTGCTGAATGAAACTTAAATCATAACATAATTTACATAAAATTACATTTATGAATAAGTGAATTAAAGACGAAACTCTCTAAATGATTGTTGGAATTACTTAACCCCTGTTAAAACTGTCTAGGGGGTGGAGGCCCAACCCCCTAAAATTTTTGAGGGTGGAGTTAATAGACATAGGGCTGCAGATACATGAGCCCACATGTTCTGACACCTAAGCTATTGACTAAGGTTTGTTTTTAATGACAAGACAAAAAAATTATATTAAGGGAATGCATTCAACTTTGATTAAGTGTTACGTGAATTAATCAATGTTAGGAGACGTATTTTCGTTTACAGCTTTTCGTCTTCTTCAGCATTCCGAGCCATTGTGCTTCACTGCTGCAGAGATCATCCATTAATCTCTTTGGCTGGCTTTCTCCTTAAACTTGGCGAAACCACGTTTTTGTAGGTCTCTCCCCAAAATCTTTCGGTCTGCTTCGTGATCTATGACCATTCAACCCCCTCGTGTATACAGCTCTTATCTCGCTGTCATTTAACATTCTTTCAATCTGGTCAAGCAATTTCAGTCTTTTGCCCTTATGATGCCCTCTTGTGTACATCTTTTATGTTATCAGAATCGACATCACTGCACATTATTCATTCTCATGCCTGCTCAGTCTTCTGATGCAGCAACCACTCCAGAGTGCTTCTACTAATTGTTCTCATGAGAAGCTGGTTATGTTGTCGCCTATCTCGGCCTCCAAGACGGCATAGACTCCCATGTGTACATCTGTTAGTGTAATCAACTTCAATAGTGGTCAGACTGTCAACTCAAGTGTGTTTAAACAGCTAGGGCAAATCCCACAGTATTATTGTCAATGACAGATGAGGGGAACTGACATTTTCATGTTCATAATGTAGACAGTTTTGACAGAATCAGCCTGAGAGAGGGAGCCACTGATGCATATTGGCAAGCCAATAACTTGAGATGGACTCTGTGCTGACACGTCTTGTTCTTTCTTTGAAATAAGCAACCAGCAAAAGACAAGAAAGTACATATAACTCTCCTCTGCGACGCATACCGACACAAGCAGTAGGATACAAGAAGAAGATTGATCTGAGATCGCAGGTTTTGTCGTCTAACTGATATCAGGCTGTAGCCCAGAGTCGTGGTTTTGTCGTCTTACTGATACCAGGCTGTAGCCCAGTGTCGTGGTTTTGTCGTCTTACTGATATCAGGCTGTAGCCCTGTGACGTGGTTTTGTCGTCTTACTGATATCAGGCTGTAGCCCAGAGTCGTGGTTTTGTCGTCTTACTGATATCAGGCTGTAGCCCTGTGACGTGGTTTTGTCGTCTTACTGATATCAGGCTGTAGCCCTGTGACGTGGTTTTGTCGTCTTACTGATACCAGCCTGTAGCCCAGTGTCGTGGTTTTGTCGTCTTACTGATATCAGGCTGTAGCCCTGTGGCGTGGTTTTGTCGTCTTACAAATACCATGTTGTAGTCTAGCATCGTGGTTTTCTGCACTTGTCTTGCGGTTTTCTAGTGGCTTGGGTGATGAATGTGTTCATCTTTTTTGCAGATTTCAGCTACACTATTTGTACACGTCTTTCTTGGTCTTTCTCTCGCCTTCCTCCCATATGTTCTGCTTGTAAAAGGTCTTATGTGCAGTTAGTAGTCAGACCAACTCGCTTTAAGCAACGTCTTCCACAATTAGAGTATAGAACCATTGTAGTCATCACATGTATTTAACACGTCTTCCCAAACGCAAAGCTTTCAGACTGCCTGCGTCATGTCAGTCAGGCAGGGTCTCACACAGATGGGGCGAATGGCCAGCTGTAGCGACATGGGCTAACATATAACAAATAAGTATGGGACTTGAGTCCTACAGCCACAGACACATAAAAAGCTGAGTCCTACATCTACCTCAAGTGGTTGTATCAATTAATACAAGATCTTTAAAGGGCACGAGGTTTGTTTCTACATAACAGACCCTTCAGAGATCTTCTGAAAGCAGGATTCATAAAGGCGTAGATAATAGGGTTAACGATGTGGTTACTGAAATAGACGTAGAAGATGATCACATTAAAATGGATGACCTTAAACGCCATTAGCCACGAAGGGAGGTAAGCTATAACAAAGGCAACAGTGACCACAAAAAGCATAATGGCTGTTCTTATGTTAGCCAGAAAATATTTGTCCCGAAGGCAGCCGTTGTTAGGTTGTGCAGTTTTTTGAGCAGCTTCATGTTGTAGCTCTTCGACTTCTATATGCTGACGGGTTTGACGCTCTAGTAAGTTCTGGGTAGGTTGAGTATTAGAAGTGGAACTCAGGTGACTTTTGTCGTGTGTGCCATTGTTGATATCCGCCATGGCGATACTTTTATCAGGTGAGTCATTCAGCATGCTTTGATTTTCCGTAAGGGACACCTCTTGTGTTAAGGTGACCTTCGTCTTTGATCTGGCTGCGAATCTTCGAGCCCTTCTCGACAATACTGATCTATAAATGCAGATATACAACACAAATACAACAAAGAAACAAAATAAAAAACTCGATGAATAAATCGTCTGGTATGTACGCCGGAAGTTATCTGAAAACACGATTTGATTGGGTAGACAGTGACCTGTGTATATGTAGCTTTCATTAGATAGATTTTCCCGATCGCAGGCAGTTTTGTACAGCTCCACCAAAACATCTACAAATCGCTCGGAAAATTGAGCATCGTTGGAGTGATTCACGCATTGGGGACAATTGTTTCCCTCTAGAAGATTAAGCTCGTCAGTCAGATTACCGATTTTTCCTTTCACGAACTTTTCTACAGGTTCTGAAAAGACGTTGCTTTTCTTCAAAGTGGCGACATCTATGTAGACACCGTAGAACATGGCGGTGATGACTCCGAGTGCCATGGCAACCACTAACAACACAAAGACAGAGTTCCGCGCTCTGGTAGCGTCCAAGACATGAGAATGTGGTCTGCAGATGCAGATGTATCTGTCGATGGCGATGGCGACCATTATAAAAACAGAAAAAGGAACGGTGCAAGTAATAATAAAATAGTAGAACTTGCAAGAAAAATCTAGCGAGATTTGATAGTCCAGTCCCTCCACGACGATGGTGTACGGCATACCAACTGCTGACGTGACCAAATCAATGCAGGCCAGAGCGATGATGAAAACGGTAGATGAAAGCTTGTTGCGCTTCCTGGCATAGACGTAGATGACTAGTGCATTACCGAGCAAGCCGAGGACGCTAAAGCAGACCAGCATGGTGATGAGTGCCTGGACCGGACGGGAGGGGATCCTCGAGGTCATGAAGTCTGCAACCAAAGCCTCGTTTATGGGGGAACAATGGCTGGTGTCAGTGGACCTGTGGACGGAGACAAATAAATAACGTTAGCAATATTAGTGTATTAGTTTGGATGCGTAATGTGTTCGTTATGTTTGCTTGTTTCTCTACATGCCTAATGTTTATGGCTGTCTGTAAGATTGTGTAGGTTATTTTGTGCATGAGATGTGTGTATGCCAGTGGTGCTGGAAGCCAGGGAAGAAAAACCTGGAAAAAAGGGGGGGGGGGGGTGAGTCTTTGGCAGCCTGTCTTTCACCTCCAGAAAACACTTAAGGCAAAGCACCCTTTTCTTCCCACACCTCCTAAAAATTAATCATGAGTAGTTCAAAATGTTATATTTGTTATATATGTTATATTTGAAGGAAACAACACGAACACATTGGAAACAAAGCTTGCTGCAGAAGCTGCCTAATAAGAAGAGCAGTTAATGCTGTCTGTCCGCCTGTCGGAGCATCACTCACAGGTACCCAGCCAGCTATGGCCACTGATCAGTATCTCTTCCTGTCAGAGCATCTCTTCTAGACCCCTAGCCAGCTATGGCCACTGATCAGTCTCTCCCCCTGTCAGAGCATCTCTCCTAGACCCCCAACCAGCTATGGCTAAGGATCAGTCTCTCCGCCTGTCAGAGCATCTCTCGTAGACCCCCAGCCAGCTTTGGCTATGGATCAGTCTCTCCGCGTGTCAGAGCATCTCCCCTAGACCCCAGGCCAGCTATGGCTATGGATCAGCATCTCTTCCTGTTAGAGCATCTCTCCTAGACCCCCAGCCAGCTATGGCTAAGGATCAGTCTCTCCGCCTGTCAGAGCATCTTTCCTATACCCCGAGCCAGCTTTGGCTATGGATCAGTCTCTCCGCGTGTCAGAGCATCTCGCCTAGACCCCAGGCCAGCTATGGCTATGGATCAGCATCTCTTCCTGTTAGAGCATCTCTCCTAGACCCCTAGCCAGCTATGGTCACTGATCAGTCTCTCCGCCTGTCAAAGCATCTCTCCTAGACCCCAGACCAGCTATTACTATGGATCAGTCTCTCCGCCTGTCAGAGCATTCCTCCTAGACCCCCAGCCAGCTATGGCTATGGATCAGTCTCTCCCCCTGTCGGATCATCTCTCCTAGACCCCCAGACAGCTCTGGCTATGGATCAGTCTTTCCGCCTGTCGGGGCATCTGTCCTAGACCCCCAGCCAGGTATGGCTAAGGATCACTGTCCTGCTATGCATTTTAGTTCTCAGGTTGCACTTTCTCTTCCAAGTGTACTTTCAGTACTCTCTTTAGTAAGCTCCTCCACTTGAAGTCGTTGGCACATAATGTGGACAGGCCTGCCTGTAGTTAAGTACTCTGGTATACTGTTGCCGAACATACAGGCACATCGTTCGGAAATATCATCAAAACAATCAAACAGTTAAATGGAATGCCAGACAACATGCAAAATGTCACGACAACCAGCTACAAGGCATCTGCTTATTAAAATTAATATGACCCAGGTTTTATAAGGAATCCTTTTGTACACCCAATCCTAATGAACACAAATCCAAGTAAAGACAACATGCAGCCTGTTGAATTTCCAAGTGACACTATGGTAAAAAGGGGGAAGCAATCCATCTTGTGTGGCCGCGAAGAAACAGGTTTTTGATTGAAATGCCACCATTTTTATCAATAACTTGTTTTTGGGAAACATTTCTTTGTGGTTTCAGCTCAGGTTTATAATGTTGTTTTTGTTTTACTAAATAAATCGAGTTCCTGTTCATTAATTTGTGGTCAGTTGTTTTCAAATAAATAGAGTTGTTGCATTGTTATTCCTTAGTTGTATTATTTCTTCTTGGACTGAATGCCGTTTAAAACAATACAAACATTTTAGCTGGTATGGAATTAAAATTTACACAAAGCTAGCGAGCCCATTGCGATAACTTAATTCTAACTTCTTTAGAGGTTTAAGTGGGTATCTGGGATTATCCTTGTTGGTTTGCCATTCAGATTAGTTTTAGTAATTTCAGGGTAATCCAAACATAAGAAACCACCACAGTCGATGGTGTGAGAATGTACCCCTGCCTCATTTCCTTTTGCTTCCAGAAATGATTTTTGACTAGCTGCTCTAACAAGTACTTGTTCCACATAAAAACGTTCAATTAAATTGACCAAATGCGCTGGAAAACCTTACACTTCTCAAGAGAAAAATTTAAGAAAAGAAATTATGACACGTATTGGCAAGGCAACAGCAACTTTTGAAAACCTGAAAAAATATATTATTCAAAATTTAATGTTTTAGAAGCAAATTTTATTGTCATTTTGTGCCATTATATGTTACACAGGGCTTGCAATCGGTCTCTTCATTCCATTCCGTGTAACCACTTAGATATGAGGGATGGAATTCGGTCCAGCACAGTTAGCTTATCTCAATGTAGGGTTTCTATTGGACGTTAAAAGCAAATTAGTTTCAATTGTGTGTTGTTGTTTTTTTCTTAAGTTTTTACGTATACCGGTAGAAACTTGCAGACGACCTAAGATATTGAACGAAAGCTAAAAGCATTAAACAAAATGTTAGAGCACAAAGATGAAAATAACATGGCATCGATTGAAGAAACGTCAAGAAATTGGATACAAGCTTATTTATCAGCTGGTATCAGCCTTTATAAGACAATAGAGATATCCGTATATTAGGCTCATCCTGAGTAAAGTAAATAGGGAACTGCCAGACAGGGACTACCATTATTAACAAACGGATTAAGGAAGGGGAAACGTCCAAAAGAAATATTGATAAAGTTTAAAGTGAGCAGCCAAGGGCTTTGAACAGTTCCGATTATGACACTAGCCTCCAACTTGAGCGAGCTCGCGCGTGTGTGTGTGTGTGTGTGTGTGAGTGTGTGTGAAAGGGGGAACGGGGTTTTGAACCTTGACTTTATTACTAATTTGTTATAGTAACATGTTTGCAATTTAATTAAAATCAATACATATTTTGTAAACTATTTAATACAAAAGGCAAAGTATGTTTTTATTTTATGAGCAGTTTGTACATCTATTCTTGAAATTGTAAATAGTTTAATAACTTGTGCATTTTAGTATAGTCTACGAACATAATCTGATGCATACTGTCTGCACCAGTTGGTGGTGAACTGATGTATGAGAAGCTGGATGTTGTAAGTGCCCTTTAGGGAGCTAGAGAACAGTGTCGAGGCACAGATAGATCCGTACGGTCTGAGGAGAATGGCACTGCGAGGAGTTAATTTAAACGGGATCTGGCTGACGCTCGACACTCAGGGGAAAGGCGAGTTGGATATACAATCAGACGGTTACTAGTACCATCGGAATTTTAACTCTTCGCTTGCTGCTGAAGACGGAGGTTTCGCGCTTATGGGGATGTCCTGAGTGCTGTGATGTTGGTTCTTAATTCAGCATTGAACATATTGTCTCTTTCGCCTAACTGCTGATAACACATACGCATTGTACATGACTGGCCTTACTAACAGGGAAAGACAAGAAAACCGACACACTTCTTGAAATGTGTTTTATGTTAGGTGCAAATACTGTTTTGGGTGATCACGATCGTCAAACCTTGCCACAAATATCTCTTTCTGTGTGCACTGTGAAGCGAAGGATAGATAACTTTACGGAAGACATAGAAAAACACGTTACTAAAACTGAGAGAGTGCCACATATTTCTAAAAACAACCTTCTATTTATCCTTGTATCTGCTACATGAACGCCTTGCAGTACCTTTAAATCCAATGTGATGCGACCATTGATTTGGCCCCATGTAACCAATTATTTGCATATTGTCGATCTGTGAATAACGATAATATAAAAAAACAAAACAGAGCTAATGCTTTTATCTGAGTGTTGCAAACAATATCAACAGACTTTAATATATTATTAATTACTGGAATCATCTCCTCCCTATGCCCCCACCCCCAAGAAAAAGGAAACATTAGTAACATTAGTGACTGTGCAGATGGCACTGCAGCTATGATAGGTTCTCGTTCTTATTTCTTTAAACCGGTAAAACAGAAAACATCCAAACATCATTGAAACTCATTGTATAATTTACAGAAAGGCCCTGACAGCCAAAACGTTGTCGCGGGATCTCAACGATGCACTGAAAATATCTATAATAGTGTTGCATTTTGTGAAATAAAACGCATGCTAAACAAGACTCTTGGAAGCTCTTTGCGATGACCTTCAAGCAGCACGTATTATTATACTTGTCCACACAGACGCCCGTTGGTTATCAAAGGAAAATATTTTTGATAAATTGGATTAGTTAAAATCTGATATTAAGGCCTTTGTCTTGAGCAGTTTAAAAAAGTAATGCTGTTTGTAGTGCATTTACTGAAAACCCATTTGCCTTTTCATTGGCACATCTTACATATTAAACACAGCAATTAGGATTTCAATAACTGAACTAAGAATGTCAAGAAGACCATTGCAACAATATTTTATCCTATGATGCAAGAAGCGCTTTCGTTGGGGAACAAACAAGTGGAAACCACCTACCCAGAACTCATCTTTTCTGTCTTAATGAACTGTTGGAAAATAAGGAATGTGGCAACAATGAACTTGCAGTTAAAATTCAGTTGCATTTAGATTTTCTGGTAGAGGTCATCATCACGTAGGAGGTCCTTTGCAGAACGTCGCTCTCATCACGGTGTGCATGAAAGAAACTCTGTAACTCGGTTTCTCGCCAGCTCTTCCGCATAATGCACTTTCATACTCATGGATTATGTTATAATATGTGCTCATCTTCCTGTTAGTCGACCCCAGTCCTCTATTTCATCTACTCTTCGGAATTCTTTCGCCGCTATAGACCAGTGCTTTCGAAACTTGTTTCATGTGACGCTCTATGGAAAACTGAGATCACACTCCACGTCAAACTGGCAACTGTTTTTTCTTAATGTCTACATTTGTGTGCAGACTGTTGGCTCCACAAAGTTATTAACGTCTAAATTTTTGTGCAAACTGTTGGCTCCACAAAGTTAT